CCAGTGCTAACTTAGTGGTCGTCTGATGGGTTTCTCTGTGTGTCTGTAGGGTCTGTGCCTAACAATATAAAGTAGCTGCTGCTGAGATTTGATGCTAGATGAGTGAAAGTGAACTGAATTGATCTAATTAATTAATGCAAACAGGAGTTAGCCGACCCATCTGAGTCACAGTGTGACGTTGGTTAGCCGACACGCGTCTCCATCAGCTGAGAGGAAAAAGGAGACGAGCAGAAGCTGCAGCCCTCTGCTTCAGACCAGCTCTAACGAAACCAGCGGGTGATGTCACACCTTGCTACGACCGTCTTCAGATTCAGTGCGATCTGGACTGACAGTGAACTGGCAGCACGGAAAACTGACATCACCTTTTCCAGCTAACCCATTTAAACCAGTGAGAGGGAGGGACTGGCAGACAGAGGCCCACAGAGCTAAACTGAGCTCTGCTATTTTTGAGTGACCTGTTAGAAGTAAGAAAATGATATTCTTAACAAGAGTCCCCCTTTTAAAATGGGCTAATTGGCAGAACATTAAGCTGCTGGGAATTAAACCAGTTCCACACTTTCAGTGACGTCATCGCCCACAGGCGAGGTGGCATCACGGAACAGGATCACCCGGCTCAGATCCAAGAGCCCCAAGGTCAGGAGGAAGTTACCCCAGAGGAAAAAATGAATAATATGAGCAGAAACTGAAAGTGAAGAACCAGACACAGAAAAGGCTCCGAAAATAACGAACACAACTGGACTAGTAAGCAAAGCTATGACAAAGACACAAAAGGGCCTCTAAAGGTTTTACAGGGTTAATAGTTTTAATACAAACTATTAACACCACCATGACCTGGATGACTGAGAAGCTGCACATCACCCTGAACTAAATCCCAACAATGAAGCAGAACAACGAGACACACGATCACCAGAAAAGCAACAACACTGACCAAGGATTTAAAAGGCCCGTAACAGGACAAAGATGGAAACTACAAAACTACAAAAATGGAATCTGGAAGGCAGAACAGCAACAAAGAAGCAGGACAACACAACGAGACACATGATCACCAGAAAAGCAACAACACTGACCAAGGCCGTTAATCAAAGACACAGCACGACCAGGAAAACTGGACAAAGATGGAAACTACAAAACTACAAAAATGGAATCCGGAAGGCAGAACAGCAACAAAGAAGCAGAAAGACCAAAACGATGAGAAAAAGGAGCGACGGGGTGTCTCCACACTCGTTTGGTTTGCAG